TGGTGGTTGAGCTGGAAGTAGGGGTCATTTGGACCTAACTCGGCAGTGAGTCACTTCTGTCAGCACCGCGGGGTGCCCGTGGCGAGCGCTCCAAGATGATGCCTTGAATCGTTCGCCCAAAAAGGGCGTTTCGAACAGACCAATCAGCTCACTGGCGCTTAGTCGCAGAGACCTCGGACTAAGACCAAAGTTTACTTCTAGTCAAAATCTATCGTTTTAGGCCCGAACCCTGACAACTTTTTACTTTGGCCTCCAATTGGGAATGGACTATTTATGGTATCCTAGATACTTGAACTTTCAGATTATTTGACCCCCGGGAGATTTGTTAAACCACGAAATAGTTGAGTTAAATTTGATACAGCTGAGAACCCCCTAGAAATCCAAGCAAACCCTATACGTGCGACAATACTTGTTCCTTAACCACCAAGTAGGTGTATATTGTTGGTAAAGAACTAGTAAAAATATAGTTTATGAGAAAAATGCAAGTAAAAATGAAAAACACGGTTTAGATCAAAGATTCCACACGATTAAGTTTAAGAGATAAAATGTTCAACTGGCGTTTCAATTGGCGTTTAAGGATGAAAGCACAAACTTATGTGGGGGAATTCTGATAATTGGTGCATCTAGCCCTCCAGAAATGAAGGTCAACATTTTAGAAAGGAAAACGGGGGGGAAGTTTTGATATTTTGTAACATGTTGAGAAATCGGACGACGTTGAAGCGTCACTCTCGGAGATCGAGGGACGTTCTTGGGGCCCATCGAGTTGCGAATTGATCTTTCCCCTGCTAAAGAAACCACTGTGTGTAGTGCATTATAGATAATTTCACTCTCTTACGCTTCGTTGGTTCCATATGTAGGTGTCACGGCTTTGGTAGAGTGGACAGGAGCGCCTGCCTGACAGCTTTAAAATCATGGTTCAGTATTCTACAGATGCTTTTGAACCTTCGTTCTTAATGCCTTCTACATTGTTGGATCAGCACGATGTGTGAGAGCATCGTCACCAAGAAGATACATGTTTTGGGTGTGCTTAT